GTACCCCCTTGCTGCCCATTGCCCCCATTTCTCTTCCTAACCCTACGTGTCCCAACTTTCTTCCCCTTTCTCTCATTTCCAGTGACCTCCTCTACCACCTCATTCACCCCGTATATCTCAGCCACGCTGCATCTCACTCCCCCCCAAGCTCCCATCTCCTTATCCTCCTCCTTCCTACCCCCAACCTCACCATTCGATCCACCCCCCATGGGTATGCACATGACGGCTGCACCCAGCCCTTCCCCCGAGCCATCCCGAGGGGCGACCGCTGGTGGTGTAGATGTACATATACATATACACCCTGTATATTCTATTAAAATCCTTGATCTCTACCCAAAACTAGATAAATGAGATGGTTACAGAGAGATTGGGTTTCTGTGGGAGAGGAATAAATATTATCCTAAATCCTGCAGAATTTTCTACAAGAATGTAAATACAGTATATAAGTGTTGCTACAGCTGCCTCTTGTAGTGCCTGGAGGCTATAGAGGCCTGGATGGGGAAAACAGGGTTCAGTTGAACCCCGAGTGACTCTGGATATGTGGAAACCCAGGATCTGGGAGTTTAATAACTTTCTAGATGGTGTTGCAACTACCCAGGTGGACCCTGTGCACAGCTTGGAGGTCCTCCTAGATTCACAACTCCTGCTCTAAGAGCAGGTGGCAGTCATGGTTGGGAGAGTCACCATGACGTTGTAGCCAAACTGCAGGAAGGAAAACATAAATTGTATGGGGTAAAGAAGACTTGGTGGCAACGACAACCATGCATCTGGACCCTAATGGCGGACGGCACCATGGCAAACCCAAGAAAAATGATTGATGTATCGTATCAAGGAGGAGATGAAATGTGTGGCAACTCCGTAAACTGAAGATTTCCGTTCCTGAGATCACAATACAGTTGCGGAAGGCAGCTTATCATTCTGAGAAAAGATGCTGCTGCTTTATGGAGTGGCCAAAGAGAGCAATATAAGAAGCTCTGTGCACTCCAGAGAGCTGCACGAAAACATATTTAATACCATTTGTGCTAATGTTTGGATTGTATTTGCATTTTCTTAGATTTTGTTGTTTAAAACCTCTGTGTCATCAACTCCAAAACCTATGCTGAAAACTGTTAATGCACTAATACAGTACAATAAAACACTTTTCATAAAATGCTATAGCTGTTCAGAATGTCTATGTTTCTCGGTAAGTCATTGCATTGTTATCTACTAAGAGCTTTCAATATTTACCAATATCCTTTATGGAGTGCATCTATTCTAAGCAATCTGTTCTTGCATCTTGGATCTGTCTCCTGCTGCCTCCATCCATCCTAATTCTCAGAATGATAAAAAGATAAACTAATGCTTGGGAGGGATGCTTTGGAGCAAATATATGGAAATATCCTTGAAAATGTTATTTCCTGCTAAGCTTGAAGTTGCCCTGATGGCCATAATGGGTGCTAAACCATTTAAAATCATTGGGGAGTTGGAACTTTTTTTTTTTGTTCTTTAAAGTTCTAAAATAAAGTTATAACTAGTAGCCAACATGGATTTGACAAAAAATTGATCATTGCAAACAAATATTATTGCATTCTTTGACAAAGTGACTAAATTGATGGATCAGTGAAATATGTGGAAATAGTATATTTGGATTTCAGTAATGTATCTGATAAAGTAGATCACAGCCTACTTCTTGGTAAGCTAGAAAAATGTGGGATAGAAGCATCACCACCAGATGGATTTGTAACTGGCTGATAAATCACACTCAACAGGTAGTCCTTAATGGTACTACATCTACATGGAGGGAAGTAAGCATTGGGGTACCACAAGGTTCCATCTTAGG